GTCTGCAGGACAGAGAGGGACTCAGAGAGAGACGCAGGAGAGAAGTTGATGAGTGTTTAACTGGGTTTTAATGGGAGATGTGGCTTTAACAGCAGCTCAAAAGAGCACACGGGTGACTTTTAGTTCCTTTTTTTTAGCATTTAGAGCGCTGCTTCTATGACGATCAGTTCTAGAATGTGTCCCGCGGGCACCGTATTGGTGACCCCTGAAGTAGATGAATCTACTTTGATCAAATCGTAACACTAACTTGTTTATTTAACACAGCTTGTGTTGTTGTTTACAGTTGTACTGGGGTTAGGCATGTTAGGTCACACTAATCTTCATGGTWAGTATGAATGGAAAAACTCTGCTCCAGAGTCACAGCAGTGTATGCTTTTTCATAACATCTTTTATTTTYCCCCATCTTCAAAGGTATATTAGTGTGGATGAAACACACACTCCTGTTTCTTCCTCCTGCGATGTTTTTTGCTGCTTTACTGCTGCTGTATACTTCATCCTATTGTAACAYTTCAAACTTCTACAACCTCAAATGCAGTGAAGTTGGGACGTTGTGTGAAACATAAATAGAAACAGAATAGGATCATTTGCAAATTCTTTTCAACCTGTATTCAGTGGAATAAAGACGATATTTAATGTTTAAACAAATAAACTTTATTGTTTTTTTTTCTTAAACATTCCCTCATTTTGAATTTGATGCTGCAACATGTTCCAAAAAAATCTGGGACAGGGTCATGTTTCCCACTGTGTTCCTTTGAACAACACTCAGTAAGTGTTTGTGAACTGAGGAAAACTAATTGTTGCAGCTTTGTAGCTGGAATTCTTTCCATTCTTGGTGAAGAACTTCAGTTGATCAACAGTCTGGGGTCTCTTCATAATGCTCCACACATTTTCAGTGGAGACAGGTGTGGACTGCAGGTAGTGCTTGCAACAACACGGCCTGTGTGTTTTCACTCCAAACCAGAAAAAAAGGTGACAGGTGACGAACCTTAAGACCAGTTGAGGTTGTAACAGGCACTGGTTTGGGCAGCTGAACTGTTTTTGTAAAAACTATCTCAGAAAAATCCTAACTTTCCTGAACTCTGATCAGGCTGCTGTGGCTGAAGTCATGAATCTCGTGCACAAGCTGGAGGGSAAACTGGATGGCCTTGTGCCCATGTTCATCAACACAAACAGTGGCCAGTTCACCCATCAAGGTGTCTACACTCTGGGAGCAAGAGCAGATAGCTACTATGAATACCTGCTAAAGCAGTGGATCCAAGGAGGCAAGAAGGAGAAGCAGTGAGTCCCTCCTAAAATTCTCACAATTTACTTTTGTCAAAAGGCATAAATTTAAAAGTCCAAGCAAATATAGTCATCTACAAAAGTCATGCGGGTTAGTTTATGTATTAATTGTTGAGTTTGCTTTAGAATATYATGCTATTTGTTTGTGTCAGCATAATCTTCTATTTGAAGTTACTACACTAAACTGRCATGACAATCTGACAACCTGTCTGTTTGATATGCCCCCCTCTATGTGACTCCATGTGACCTCAGAGTCACATAGAGTCATAAAGACTTACACTATGAATATAAATAGAACAAAAAGAGACAATTCAAAAAGAAAAAAGAAACTTGTTAGCAGGTGAATACAGAGGTTGTCTCGTCTCCTTACCTGTCATCTCTGCACCTGAGCTCTGCAGCTTGTCAGAGTTTTGGGACAAGGAGTCGGTGTTCACCCCCTGCTCACTGAGGGACTTCTGAATGATTAAGTGATTAAAGTCTCTAAACACCCTAGTGTATCTATTGTGTCAATAGCTGCTTTAAAAAGGGACTGGAAGGGTCTAAAAACTGGCTAAATGTAGGAAGAAAGGCATTTGCCGAAACCGACCACCTGCTTGTCTCTGAGCCCTGTGGTAATGATGCATTCACAAACTCAAAAAAAGTCAGATTTATCAGGATTTTCCAAATAAAAACCAGTAACAAAACTGGATTTTTAAAATGTATTCAGCCAGTCTATGGTTTTAGCCAACCAAGGTGAAAACCAGCCAATACCAGTTTGCTCGGTGCATCTCTATTTCTTCCAGGACCTTACAAAGATTAGATCCTTAATTTATGAYTGCTAGAAAAACGCTGCTTCTTTGATAGTCTGTAGTTTTTAAACAATATGCATTTTTCACTTTAATCTTATTATATTTTTCAGATTTTTGGAGGACTATCAGCAGGCTGTGGAAGGTGTAAAGAAGAACCTTTTGCAGAAATCTTCACCAAACAATCTGACTTTTGTTGGGGAGCTCTCACATGGACAATTCAGCCCCAAAATGGTTAGAATTATTTCAAACTGTTCTTGTCATTTCTACAAGGTTTGATCGTTAGCCTGCAATATCATAGACAGTATATTTAAAAAAAGAAATGGTTTTGATCATTCACAATTCATTCACAATCAGAGGTCAAATTTTATGGAAGACAAACAAACTTTCCATTTATCCCCATAATGGTGCTGCCTTGTAGATGGCTCCATCTGACTGCATAGTTTACTCATACACAAAAAATGTGGAGTGATTGACGTGTGTGTGTGTGTGTGTGTGTGTGTGTGTGTGTGTGTGTGTGTGTGTGTGTGCGTGCGCGCGCTTTTAAGGCTTGGTCTGTTGGTCTAAACACACTAGGGGTGGGCAGTCCTGGTCCTTGAGGACCACCGTCCTGCATGATTTCCTTGTTTCTCTGCTTCAACACGTCTGATCTGAATGAATGGGTAACAGGCTTCTGCAGAACCTGAAGAGGTAATTCAATCCCTGAATGAGGTGTGTTGGAGCATGGAAACAAACAAAATATTAAGGGTAGCCAGTGGCCCTGGAGGATCAGGATTGGACACCTCTGGTCTGAACAAAGAAATGACAAATAAAATGGATTGACATGAGCTGTGATCAGAACAGCATCTGCATGGTCACAGCTCGTTGTTTCTAACTTGGAATAATGAATTAGTATTATGAGAAGCACTTGTAGAGTTAATGGGATCATTGTTTAWTTTTTTCTTTCAGGACCACCTTGTGTGTTTCCTACCTGGCACTCTGGCTCTTGGTGCTTATAATGGACTGCCTGCTGATCACATGGATCTGGCCAAAGAGCTGATGGAGACTTGCTACCAGATGTACGTTCAAATGGAGACGGGCCTGAGTCCAGAGATCGTTCACTTTAATATGCATCAAGGCAGCACCAGAGACATTGATGTAAAGGTACCTGGCTCTTTTCACAGCATCACATGCTGAATCATCTGTAGCTCACATTGTGACTTTCTAAATATAAGATGGGAAAAACTGCTTCAATTTGTTAGAGAACATAAAGACCGGACTCTGGAGTCATGGAAGAAGGTCATGTGGTCTGATCAGTCCAGTTGATGACCTGAATATACTGAAGGACCAGAGCTCTCATTTATAAATCATTTATAAAGGATTGTGTGGAAACCATACTAAAAGTGAYCGTACGGCCAAAAGGTGAAAATAATGTCAGATTTATAAAACCGTGTGCACACCTTCAAGAAATTTTCCTTCATAAATCACAGCTGAAGCTCAGAGTTTCTGCACAAGGTCCCTCCTCAGGTTCTACCCTCTACACGCCCACACTCAACCATYAACAGTCAATGCAAAGTACRTCATGAATGTTAAGATGTATTTAAATCAGTCAGCTGATCAATGCCAACAAAAGCGATTGGTCAGCTCAGACACGCTCRGTCATGCATCTGGAGGATGACAGGTGCTGTAGGCTATGGTGTTGACATGATGCTCAGTTGGTACTAATGGGCCCAAATGGGCCCAAAGTGTATCAGGAAAATATCCCCCACACCACTGGACCACCACCACCAGCCTGAACTTTTGATACAAGGCAGGATGATCCACGCTTTCATGTTGCTGATGCCTGTTATGGATTAATTATGTATATCTGTTATACCTTGACACTGTCCAGTAATCATATCT